ATGGGTGGGTGAAGTGAAGTGATATGCACCAATGGAAAATGCAAATAAAAGAAAAAAAATCCAAAACACCTCTGGTCCCAAGCATTTCAGATTAGGAATACTCAATCTGTTTTTAGACTCACTTCCGTCTGGTTTCAATCTTGGTTGCTGTGGCAAAGAACTTTCATTGACAGGGTGCAAGATGAGGGAGAAAAGCCTTTTTTGCTCTTGCTTGATCTTCCAGCTGCTTTTGACCCCATTGACCATGGTATCATTCTGCAAAAGCTCAAAGAGGCTGAAGATAAACGCATGCTTTTCTACAATTTACTCTTAGTGTCATGGGCAGCAGCTCTCAGGAGTCTGCCTGCTCTAACTCAGCCACTGCTGAAGAAGAGCCTTCGGTAAAAGGCTCAAGCATTTAGTGAAAGCTAGTGAATGTTTGGAGTATAGGAGAGAGAGAGAGGAATATTGCAAGTTTAGGAGAAATTATTATTAAACAAGCAAAGGCTGAAATCATAGGATAAAAGAGCCTCAGAGTTGAAACCTGTGGTGGCAGATAACATTGTTGTATTCTTCTCTTGGAACCAAGCTCTGCTGCCTCTCGATTTGACTTCAAGGACTCCTAGCCTTCAGACTTCTGGACTCTGACAAATCCTGGACTTTGACCTTGGCATCATAGTTGTTTCTTGCCTTGAAACATGACTCTGATGCTCTTCTGACTACTGGTATTTCTGACTCTGAACTGTGACCTTGGCTTTCGTCATCTGACTCATTTGTTCCTGACTTGACTCTGTTGCTTCACCAGCTTGACTTCAAGAAATTCTGACTTTGGCTAATTGGACTTTGGATCTTGGATTGGGCTCACACATCTCTCTCTTTGTGATTTGTGCTTCTTGCTATTCTGGCTTGACTTCCAAGGACTCCTGAATGTGGTTTCTATGATATTGGCTCTTGACTTTTTCTGACTCTCCTGTTGTTTGTTGAAAATGAGCTCCTGATACCACGGATGGGTTCATGACATCTAGCTTCCAGAAAAGATGACTGCAAGATCATATCTTATTTTTCTATGACATTTAATATCTCAAATAGAGTTGGAAAACACCACAACTCTATGATTCTATACAACATCAAAGTGATTTGGCAGGAAAATAAACTACAATCTCACAATCTTCTTTCCAATAAGAAAGTGTTATCAATATGACAAACCCAACTTTTCCACCAAAATACAACCAGGTGCATATATGCACATTCAGGGCCACTGAGAGCAAATCTTGACAAGATGGAGGCATTGTAGGTAAATAGTTCTCATGTCCAAGAGACAAATAAACTATTTGTTCTGAATGAGATTGAAGTCCTTTTAAAAGATTTGCATCTGAGCAGTACTCTGGATACATCCATGTCAACTGCCAGGATGGCTGTAACTTCATGTATTCTTACTGTTTGTTGGAATGAAATATTTTTATTTCTAGTTGTCACTGGAGACTCAAATGATATAGTGACTCTGTGTTCTTTGTCTCCTTTGTATATCAGTTGAAGCTCTTCTTAGGCCTTCATCACCCCCCCCCCCCCAATTTCCACATACCTATAAAATTGTCCATAGACAAAGTATTACGGAGCCCATCATATGATGCAAACAGACTTCTGGCTGTCATCCATGGTGTTTTGTTAGTGAACTGTGTTAGAAATGTGGATAAACGATGATAACAGTAGCCAGAGAGAAATCAGGAGAAAGTACGTAAAAACATGTGAGGTGGTATGAGATCTTCCAGATTCGCCTGTGTTGAATAATTTCAGTGATGTTATGGAATTGATGTTCCTATGGGTGGTCTCCTATGCGCCACTTCTTTTGCAAAACCCTTCTGCATAACCATAAGGAATAGTACAATGGTAAGATATCACCACTTTCTTTCATGTCATTTTTCTCCTTCATAGTAATTTAAGCTTTAGAATTGCATAGTAATTTAGGCTTTAGAAATTACTGCAAGCTTTTTTGTTCCCTTTTTTTCACCAGCTATAAGACGTTAGAATGGTGCCTTGGATTTCTTCTAGAGTAAGAGAACTGAGAGGGAAAGTAAAATATCCCAGAAGTAGTGTCTTAAGAATGATCCCTTGTGTCTACTCTCAGCAGATGGTTGAGGTGGGAGGAGACAATCCTATATAATGGGGTTACGTAAATTCTCTATCTTCTTTAAAGACAGAATCCCACACAAAGGAGATGATTCTACACACAAGGAGACAATTCCCCTCACTCCCCCACCTCTTTCTGATGAAGTCCTTTGATCAGTGGTTCCCAACCTTTTTTGACCAGGGACCACTCTCTAACGTTAGTAACAAAAGAATTATGAATCAGTTTTTAGTCAACTTTAGATGTGGTTTGGTTATTTGGGGTGCTGATTCAGAAAATGGCATTGGATACACCACAGCAGTTCTAGTTTCTGATACAGAATATATGCCAAGCTCAACAACAGAAAACTATATTTAATAAGCCTCGGCATTATAAGAGGTTTCGCGAGACCAGTTGCAACGGTGTACGGTGTAGTAATGGTGAGGCCACAGACCATGTTTTAGTTCTTGCAGACCACTGGTGGCCCATGGACCACAGGTTGGGAACCACTGCTTTAGTGGAACTATTATTGTGAGGCATTAAGCATGCTGGGGGTTACTGAGGCTGTATTCACTCTTCAGAATTATAGTACTTTGACACCACATTAACTGTGATGGCTCAATAGTATGGAATTATGAGATTTGAAGTTTTGTGAGATATTTACCTTTTTCTGAACTCTGGTGCCACAACACCAAGCCTTTGGCCATTACTGCAGTGCAATAAGTGGTGATGGAAAACTTGCAATGTGCAATGACAATTGGAATGGTTTTTTGAATATGATCTCAGATTGCATGGTTTTAATAATGCATTTTAATCTTGATATGATTTTTAAATTCATGTTTGAATGTATATGTTTATTCTATGTCTGTTGTGTATATGGCCACGGACCACAGGTTGGGAACCACTGCCTTAGATAGAGATCACTTGCACTGGCTTGCTACAGTGGTGCAAATACTGGAGCTGCCCTTCATGCTTTCCTGGAATTGCAGCTGGTGTAGAATGTTTTGGCTAGATTTCTGAGTGGGAAAAACCATTAAAATAATTCATATAAATGGAATGTACATTTAAATGAATATGTTAAAATTGACTGGGTAGGAAAAAATTGGTATTTTATTCTTTTGAAAATTTGACAAGTCATTTAGCTGTTGAAGCTCTTCCAGCATGTCACCCCACAGGGCAGATGATGAAAAAGTACAGGGCAGATGATGAAAAAGTCTACGTCAGTGGTTCCCAATCTTTTCCACTTGCAACCCCTTTCTGCTTGAGAAATTTTTATGTATATAGATATTAAAAATAGATGTTTAAAAATGTAAATAAAAAAACCCCCTACTAATAACAAGCCCACATTTGCAAGGCTTGCAAAACAGGTGGATTTTCCTATTTATGAAGTACAAGTGAAGCATTCCACAAAAGATTCATGTAAAGTTCTAAAATAGCCACTAAGCGACTATCAGTAAACTGTCATTGTTGCCGAATTTTTTTATGAACCCAAAGTTGAGGTTTAACCCCCTGATGGCGCAGCAGGTTAAATTACTGAGCTGCTGAACTTGCTGACTGAAAGGCTGGCAGTTCGAATGCAGGGAGTGAGGTGAGCTCCCACTTTTAGCCTTAGCTTCTGCCAACCTAGAAGTTCGAAAATATGCAAATGTGAGTAGATCAATAGGTACTGCTTCAGTGGGAAGATAATGGCGCTCCATGCAGTCATGTCGGCCACATAACCTTGACACTGACTCTTCGGCCAACAAATGGAGATGAGCATCACCCTCCATTAGTCAGACACAATGATACCTAATGTCAGGAGAAACCTTTACCTTAAAATCATATATAAGGTAGACTACATATAATAATGAAACATACAGAGTTATCTTCTAATTACAATGACATGACTACTTTGCAACGTTGACTCTTTGGCAGGGATGGCCCTAGGTAATTTTCAATGGTAAGCAAACAGTATTTTGCCCCCCCCCCCCCCAACCAATCACTGATATGTATTTTCTGTTCATCGTGGGAGTTCTGTGTGCCGTATTTGGTTCAATTCCATCATTGGTGGAGTTCAGAATGCTCTTTGATTGTAGGTGAACTATACATCCCAGTAATTACAACTCGCATATGTCAAGGTCTATTTTCCCCCAAGAACACCTCAAGAGTGCCCCCGGACAAAATCAACTATCCTGCAAATGCTTACTTGAGCTGCCCCTGCTCTTTGGCCTAGAAATGGGGATGAGCATCCAGAATCGGACATGATGAGATGTTTACCTTTACCTTTGAGCTAAGATTTCATTTGGGGCCAGGACTCACAGTTTAAGAAGCAGCACTCTTGGTGACAGTTGCCAATCGAGTACCGAAAATGGATAGAAGGCAATTTGCTGACCCCACAAATCCCCTGGTAGGAATAACTGGCATTGGGAGGCTTTGCCATATTATTTGTGTGTGGACTCTAACCCAGTTCAAAGCAGATATTGTGGGATTTTCTGCCTTGATATTCTGGGACATAGGTCTGTGTGGAAGGGCCCTGTGTGCTCCCAGGAGTAGAAGACATACTTTTAATCCTTTTCTCCACCTGCTCACCCAGCAAGGCACATCTAATACTCGAATGAAACTGCCAAGAAGCAACCTGGACTACAGGCTAGTTCTGCTGAAACTCAGGCTTCCATGCAGCCCTTTGACTGCCTAGGATCAAGAGACTGCAAGCTGCCTTCTTCCATTCCTTGTGTACAGATTCCCCTGCATCAACTGCCTCCAAGGCTGGATCTACAGTGCCACAGAATGCAGTTTGGAGCTAGTGTAGATCTGGCCTAAGAGGATCCCTCCCCCTCCCCTCCAGCATCAAGCCAGTGGTGCCTCCTTAACGCAGTGCTGGATGGACTATGCGGAGAAACTACGCTACCCAGAAGGCAACGCGCCGGTCGTAGAAAGCACGCCTGCGCACTGAGAGCGTCGGATCCAAGTTTGGAGCTTTGAGCTGCCAGCCCTGGCCCATCATGTAGGTGCAGCAGAGCCTTCGTTGCCATTGCAAAAGCGAGGGGCAATTTTTTTAAAAGCAGCCCACTTTGCAATTCTTATTTTGCAAGCTGTGCAATTGCACCTTTGCAAGGAGATCTGCAGCGGGGAAGGAGGAGAGAGAGAGGGGAAAAAAAAAACTCCAGTTGCATGAACATTGAGTGCTTGCAGTGGGCATCTTTGTTGCAAAAAAACTAAGCCACGGAAGAGAGGAGGCGAAAGTCTTTTGTGTTTCTCGTGCAGAGTGGAGGGGGAAAATGTCTCAGCAGAGAGGTAAGGCTCCCGATTTGCTCTGGTTGCAGCTCTGCACAAAGTCGTGCATGCATCTTGCAATTGCATGCATGCAAATTTCGGGAGGCGATTGCATTTGGAAGTTGGAGGCTTGGAAGAGCTCTCAGTTGCATTTCCTGTTTAGTGTGTGCTCTCTTTTTTGCTCTCTCTCGCGCGCTCTCTCTCTCTCTCTCTGCAGACACACGCTCGCGCTCGCTCTCCCTCGCGCGCGCGCACAGTTCTTGTAAGGCAGGGCTTCCAGTTCAGCTGTGCATTGACGTTATTGGCATTCTTCTGCCTGGATTACGGAGCTCTCTCTCTCTCTCTCTCTCTCTCTCTCTCTCTCTCTTTTGCCTTTTTGCACAGTCAAGGCACAGGAAAAGAGAGTGGGAGAGCCTACACAGGAGCCGCTGCCTACTGGGCATATTTTTTATTGCAAAAAAAATAAATAAAATAAAATCATATGTGGATTGATATATGCAGACGATTGAGGGTGCACCTTTTAAAACCAAACTGTCTGCACATATTTGCCTTTAAAGGAACCTGGAAGGAATGGAAGTCGAAACTTGTATGAAGAATGAAAGATGTGCCACTTTTTCTGCAAGAAAACATTGTTCTGATGGCAATGTACAGTTCAAGTTTCCATACCCCCCCCCCCCTTTAAATTTTCAGGATTGAAAAAGTTCTGCAAAGGGGTGTTGTCGAAGGCTTTCATGGCCGGAACCACTGGGTTGTGAGTTTTCTGGACTGCCTGGTCATGTTCCAGAAGCATTCTCTCCAGACGTTTTGCCCACATCTATGGCAGGGATCCTCAGAGGGGAGGTCTGTTGGAAACTAGGAAAATGGAGAAAGAACTCTTCTTTGAGGCAAGTGAGAATGTTGCAATTGGCCATCTTGATTAGCATTCAATGGCCCAGCAGTTTGAAGGTCTGGCTTCTTACTGCCTGGGGAATCCTTTGTTGGGAGGTGATTAGTTGGTCGTGATTGTTTCTTGTCTGGAAACCCCACGGCCAGTTAATCACCTCCCAACAAAGGATTCCCCCAGGCAGTAAGAAGCAGACAAGAGTTCTTTCTCCCACCGTGGACCTTCCACAGATATATTATAAACCCCATTTGCCTAGTTTCCAACAGACCTCACAACTTCTGAGGATTCTTGCCATAGATGCAGACGAAACGTCAGGAGAGAATGCTTCTGGAACATGGCCATACAGCCCAGAAAACTCACAACAACTTTGCAAAGGGGCATCATCATTTTCTTAAATTGGAGGTGGCATGGGCTAAATATTGCTTTACTATACACTGCCAAATAATGCAGTTTGGAAGTGCATTATATGGTCACTGTAGAGCAGACTTCTATAATGCAGTTCAAACTGCATTACTTTGGCTCTGCACTGACCATATGATGCATTTCAAACTGTGTAAAGACCCAATTACACTAGATAATAAATCCACTTAAAATTCAGTTTCTGCCTCCTGCAGAATTCTGGTATTTGTACTTTAGGGAGGCTGTTAAAAGTACCTCCTTAAACTACAAACTCCAGAATTCTGCAGGAGGCAGCAATCGGATTTACAGGGGATGAAGTAGTTAGGCTGGATCTCCACAGCCATATAATGCAATATGGAAATAACCATGTAACGCACTTCCAAACTGCACCATATGGCAGTGTTGATCTATCATAAGGGCAGCTTCAAAAAAAAAAAAAAGGCATTGGAGACAGTTGTGTGTAAAATGCTTCAAGATCAGTGGAGGAAAAGGGTCATCTTTGACATGGAAAAAACTGAATTGTGCCACTCAGGGCCCTTCCACACAGCCCTATAACCCGGAATGTCAAGGCAGGAAATCCCACACAATCTGCTTTGAACTGGAATATATGGCAGTGTAGACTCAGATAACCCAGTTCCAAGCAGATATTGTGGGATTTCTTGCCTTGATATTTTGGGTTATAGGGCTGTGTGGAAGGGTCCATAGGGTCCTATTCGAAGTTTGGAGAAGCAGGAGGAAAAGGTTGGATCTACACTGCTGTATATTTCAGTTTGGAAGTGCATTATATGTTCAGTGCAGACCAGGCACGGGCAAAGTTCCTACCGGCTGTTAGGAATTATGGGAGTTGAAGTCCAAAACACCTGGAGGGTCAAACTTTGCCCATGCCTGATGTAGACTCGCACAATGCATTCTATGACCACACTCAACATGTAACGCAGATACAATGGGACGGAAGCCAATGCCTGGTTTTTAAAAATGTGTGGAAGTAGCTCCAAATCCAAGCTGACGAGTTTTGTACACTCTTGCGCTAGGCAAAGTGTGCAACTGAAGTTGGCATCTGTGCAAAGCCACTTGGAAAAGTCACTTGCAGGACTTGGAGGAGGAGAGGATCTCTCCCCTTCTCTGTTGAAAAGAAAGGAAACGCCTGGAAAAGGTCAACTGAATGGGAGAAGGTTCACTCTGGAAGCCTCTCTTCCTTTCTCTGCCGGACAGTCCCCTCCTTCTTTTCCCCCACACAGTTGCACTTTGTGGCGGTGGAATTGCATAATTTATTCCCCATTTGCTGCAGTCCTCTCTTCCAGCCAAGCGGAGGATTATTGGACGCTATGAATGAGAGAGTGAGCCCAGTCACTTTGCCAAGCTTTGAAGGATGCCTCCCTAAAATGTGGCACTTGGTCGGGGTTTCTCGTCCAACATGCTCCGCTGGTTTGCAGCCAAGGGGGAAACCCATCATTTGAAACATGGAAGAAGAGGCAAGCCTGATTTCTCTCTCTCCCAGCCCTCCATCCTTGGAAAAAGTGAATAGTGTTGGAACAAAGATACAGTGAGAAAGCTTCCAGTCTAGGGCTGGGCATGCCTAAATGAAAGGGAAAACTCAGCTCTTTTATCCAGGTTAGATGTTGCTTTTACTTTGAATGTGTCCTCATTTTCCACCATCTGTGGATGCCTCTGCACTGTAGAATTGGATTGCCCTGACTCAGTTCTATGGAATCCTGGGATTTGAAGAGACACCAGCAGTCTGGCAGAGAAGACTAAAAACCTTGTCAAACTTGAGCACCTTTGATTCCATAACACTGAGGCACACCAGTGAAAGGGCTGTCAAACGACATTAATAATAATAATAGTGCCTAAAGACCTTGGCCTGCACTTAAACACAATCGGCGCTGACATTTGTCAGTTGCAAAAGGCCATCCTACTCGGATCTGCACGCATTATTAGCCGATACATCACACAGTCCTAGACAATAGGGAAGTGTCCGACATGTAAACAAATACAAAAGCCAGCATATGGATTTTGTTTGCTGTGTACTAATCTTGTTGTGTTTCAAATAAAAATACACTTTTTTAAATTCCGTTTTATCTCCCCAAGGGGACTTGGAGCAGATTACAGTAAACACATATATAGGCAAACATTCAATGCCTTTTTTATACACTGAACAATGACATCCAATACACAAACAAAGGCAAAGATTTTCCCTCCCATCTCCGACGTCTGGAGGTGATGCTTAACTCTGGCCATTGGGAGGGTTTTTTTTTCTCCGTGTCAGAAGCGACTTGAGAAACTGCAAGTCACTTCTGGTGTGAGAGAATTGGCTGTCTGCAAGGACGTTGCCCGGGGGATGCCTGGATGATTGATGTTTTACCATCCTGTGGGAGGCTTCTTTCATGTCCCCACATGAGAAGCTAGAGCTCAACAGATGGGAGCTTATCCCGCTCCCCGGATTTCGACCGCCAACCTGTCAGTCGACCCATTGCACCACTGGGACTCTGGTTCCATTTTCATTCCGAGGAGCTTATACATAGACCCTCCTGGTCGTGTTTTGCTGGCATGGCTGCAGGGCACCTTTTACCTTTTTGCTGAAACATTACTTATTGATCTACTCACATTACATGTTTTTGAACTGCTAGATAGGCAGAAGCTAGGGCTGACAGCGGGAGCTCACCCTGGCTTGTGACTTCAAACTGCTAACCTTCCGGTAAGCAAGTTTTTCTGTAGCTAGTGGTTTAACCCACTATTCCACTATTCCACTATTCCACAGTGTAGATGCACCCTAACTCTCCAGTGGAGATTCAGAAAAAAATTGACCTTAGCCAGCTGAAAAGTTCTGTTTGATTCTTATTTCTCTTTCTTGGCAACCTTCTTTCATCTAGGCCAGGGCTTCTTAAACCTTTTCCACTTGTGATCCCCTTCTACCAAGATATTTTTACACGAGATAGGTATATAAAATAGGTATAAAAACAAACATTTATTGATAATAAACTAGCATTTCCAAGTTGTGCAAATCAAACTGGCTTTCCTTTTTATGAAGTACAGCTGAAGCAATTTCTGTAAACACAGCACAGTGTTGCTAACAGATTTGTGTCAACATCTAAAGCAGCCACTAGGCGATGTTCAGATTTTTTGAGACCCCCAACATTGAGCTAAAGGGAGCCCATTTCGGGTTGGGACACAAAGTTTAAGAAGCAGTGATCTACACCAAATTTGGTTCTCCCATGTGTTTGCATGCATAAGATTGCACTGGTGATTGTTAAGTGTGTAAATCTGACTTTTTCTCTCTAGAGATTGATGTTTCTTTGGGTTTTTTTTTAAAGCAAAAATATGTCCATGAGTGTAGCAATGGCACATTCAAAAAGCAGAACCAGAAAGGTACACAGAAATTGTGGGTTGACTCTTTATTTTTTATGATTCTGGCACTGGAACCTGATAGAGTGAGCAACCGATAGATTGTTGCCCCAATGACCTTACAGTAGGAGATGAACTGGTGCTTCCAACAACAGTGGAAAAGGAGAAAGACAAGGGTTTGAATCCATTTTTTTTCTTTTGTAGTTCACTAGATATGATTTTGTCAATGATGAGAACCAAGGATTTATGGAAAGATGGATACACTGAGAGGAAAGTTGTTTTTTAAAAGTAAAAGTGGCTCTCTGTGGCTGAGAGGATCTTTAAAGAAACCCTGATAAAGGAGCTTGATGAAAAGAGCACAGTCTTTGCCACTAAGTTCTCTTCTAACTTTTAGACC